TCGGCGGCGGGGAGCCGGTTTTGCCGGGTTTGGACGCGTCTTCAGCGGTTTTGTCCGTATCGGCCTTTTCCTGAAGGACCCATTCTCGTACCGAGCGATGGTGCGCTCAGCCCTCTCTTCAGTTTGCTGTAACTTTAGTTTCAAAGCATACAGGTCGCACCGGTAGCCCGGCTGTTACCGCCGTCTCTCCCCCCTGCCCTCTCAGGTCAGCTCTGCGCCCCTGGGGCCGGGTCCGCGCCGAGGGGCCAGACCTTCGGGGAATGGCCTGTGGACAACGACCGCGCTCTGGTTATAAGTAAATCTGGAACTCCTCAGCTTCGAAAGGAGGAAGGCTTACTTAAAGAAATCTTCCAGTCACGGAGCTAAAAGGTGGGAGGAGGGTGTAGGTTGTGTCACTGAGTGGGACAGTGGCCATTTCGGGGGACGTGTGAAGATGAGAGCGGGACGGATTTTGGGGACATCCCTTATGCTGAGGGTCAGGGGGAAGTAAAATTTAAGCTTGTTAAGTGCATGACTTGTCCCACGGCCTGAGCTGAGTGTAGGTATCCCAAACTTCTAAAGAAAGGGTATTCGAAATGCCCGATAGACTTGGATTGGAAATGTTCAGTGAGCAACACGTGTTCTGTGTTGACATGCACGTTGTCCGTCTTATGCTGCAGATAAATTTGGGAGCTTATTGAAACAAATCTTGTTTCTAGAAAGTCAGTTGCATCTCCTTTTCTGACCATCTGTAGTTTTGCTGTTCTTATATTTAAAACTGTCCACTTTACTTTTTTTTTTAGCAAATGTGTTGTCTTTCCTTCTCAGAGTTATGTAGTTTTTGTTGTTTGTGTTCTGTGCTGCTTCTTCCAATACAATTATTTATGTACATACTGAAATGAATTAAAACACTGTAAGGTAGATAACATTTGAATGGCCAGAAGGTATGATGTGGGAGAGGGGATAACAACTTTTGTAAAATGGGACTTCTGCTTTAAAAAAAAAAAACAAAACTAAAAAATATCTCAAATTAACTCCCAGGGAGTTACTTTTACCATTATAGAATTTTGTTTTCACAATAAATAGAGCTTGCATACCTTATGTAGGCAGTTGTCCCTATCTCATACAAGGTAGCATATCTATGCTTTTAAACATCAGTGGTGTTGTGACTCTGAGATAAAGTTGTTTCACTGTGTTTGTATTTGTTAAGCTCATCAGGAGTATGCAATGTATCAGAATCACTATTAGGGTAATCTTGTAAACCGGCCTTTTATTTTGTTGTGTTGTGACATTATAACATTGTCAGATATTTACTTGATCTTGGTGAAGAAATCTGCTGGCTTATCCGTATACATAAAGAAATCTTAACTTAATCCTTTCTTAAATTTAAAAAAAAAAAAATCAAACCGTTCTTTTACTTAAACCAAAGAGAATTTGTCAGAGCGGTGTTTGGGAGCTGCTGTGTGTGCAGCTCTGTCTGGAGACCTGGGGGGACTGCAGGCTTTTCACCCACAGCAGGTGTAGCAAGCGCAGGATGCCTGACTGCTGGAATAACTAGCGCTTGCCCCTTGAAGTTCATCGATACATGCTTTGTTTCTATGGCAAAGTATGAGTAGTTTTCTTTTACATGAGGTGATTTTACGTGTACTTTTCTGGTACACTTCCTATTCTCAGGCAGGAGTTCACTGTTCACACTCACGGTTCAGGCTTGTCTTCATCACACGCTTCCTGTTTTGAATCACTCTGCCATGTTCCTGAAAACAGATTTGACCTATCTTTCTAGCTTCTCCCCTGTTGTATTTTGGTGTCAGCTTAAGCATGTTTTGATTGTGTCCATGATTGGATCTCTCTTAAAATGATCCAAATTAATTTAATTAAGTGTTTGTGCTGGAGTTTAATTTAAACCTGAAATATCAATTTTCCCATAACCTGATAGCTCGCTCTCTGTTTCTTCAGACTGTCTAACACTGTGTTCCTTTTCCCTTTCCCATCCCCATCTGTTACTTGGGAACGAGTAAACGGTACTAAGCCAGGTATGAATTGAATTGAGGGGCTACAAATCGTTGTGCAGTTTCATAAAAAAAACCTCTTTCAGTTAAACCAGTGTGACTCAGAAAACAGGTTGCAGTGCTTAACTTCCCACTGCTTTTTGATCAGTCCATTTTCCACCATGCACGCTGTCAAATCCGCTCTGTTCCGTATCATTTAGGCTCCTAAACTGGGGCCTGAGCTGCTGTCGGTCCTCTCTCTGGCCTCCCCAACACTTAGTAGGAGCAAAGAGCGTTCTCTTGGCCCATCGTGCTGAACTTTTCAGTTCCCTTGCCGAATCCGTCTGTTGTCTTTCCTTTTGTTTTTCTTTTATTGTTGTCTTTTTTTGCATCATGCCATCCACATTTCCAATGGTGCCAGTTTTTGACAGATTCTACATAAACATGGCCTCTTTGATCAATGTGATTTCTTTTAAGTAGAATGTACAAGCTGAAATTACAAGCAAGGCCTCGACTTTTTTTTCTTTAGAAGAATTTTAAAGCCCTGTTTCTGCTATGAAGTGACCAAATAAACAGTAGCTGACTTTACCCTGGCTAAACGGCCATTGTTTGGAGCCAGTTAAGTTAGGTATTGAGGTGGATGTAAGGAAAAAAACTGATGATGACTGTTAGTCATCAAAACAGAGCGAGGCTCACAAGCAGTCTAACTAGTGATTGAAACAAGAAACATAATGGCTTTCAGGAGAATCCTATTAGTTTATGAATGAGTGTGTGATAAGGTTGTCTGTAATGAAAAGGGACTAGACTCATTAATCTGGAAGGCTGCCTCCAGTCTTGGGTTGTTAGGTTAGCGCTAATGCATCTCATTTCGTTGTTATTTTTTTCCTTCTTAGAAGTGAAAGTTGTTAAAATAATGGAATGATTTAATAGGGAGGTTGTATGCTTGTTATTAATTTGTTTTTTAAATTAGGTTAGGTTTTTTTCTAAAACATATGCTTTAATTTGGCTCTGGGCTGTGATAGTTATCATCTGTGAATAGATGCTCCCATCCCTCGTGGCCCGTGGTTCGAACAGGTTTGCCTACATTGCCTTCAGCACACGCACAACATCAACTCCGCTCAAAAACCACAACTATGATCAGATCTCATGTTTCAGGGATTCAGTACATTTATTGCATGGGTCAGAGAAGACTACTTTTATCATGCACAATTGCTTAGATGTATTCTGACAGGATGCAGAATTTCTCTCATCAGATACTAGGCTTGTGTTGTACTCACTTATTTAGCCTCAAACTCATCTCTGGATTTGAAATTAAGAAGAATTTTCCAAAATAGAAGAGATCTTGAATTCCTTTTTCTTTCTCCTGGGATGTGCTAGATCTGAAGATCTGTCTTGCTACTCAGTTGCCTGTTACTGCAGGGTACTTGGCACGCTGGGTTTCGTGTGTCACTGACAGAAAACTGGAGTTTTCTTCTGAAGACTGAGCTAAGAGCAGCAGAGGGACCTCAGTTTAATGTTCTGATGTGCATATATTCAGTTTCAATCTGATGTAGCATTCCTACTCGGGTTTATACTTTTTGATGTTTGAAGCTACATAGTAGCTAGTATATATTGTTTACTACTTCTGCCTTCCATCAGTTTTCTTTCTGGTTTGCTTATAAGACCGCTTCAATTTGGGTCTGTTCAGAGTTGAAGTTAATTTGCTTGACAGTTTTTGATTTTACTGAGCCTTTAACTTGACACATGTGTATCTTGCTCTTTTTTTTTTTTACTGTGACACTCTTGAGTGTTTTTATGAAGACTGAGTAGTATGTGAAAAAGCATGACTACTGTTACCACTTTTTATTTGTAGACTTCTGAGTTTTTCAAAAGAGCAGGTAGGTACTATTGTTAGATATATTTCTGTAGGACTGCACTAAATGACATGTAAGCACTTCAAGAAGGTAATAAATTTAGTGTCCTGTTATGCTTACAAAGGAAAATATTCTATTTTTATAGGAAGAACTGCAAACAGTGGGGCTTTTTTCAGAGTTTCCACAGCAGGTCTCCTTGCTGTCCTAGGACTCCTACATCCCCAGTAAGTGCAAGGACTGTTATTTCCCCGGCATCCAGAGGCCCAGCAAGGTTGTAACATTTACAAGCTCATATAATGGCTAACCAGTAAAGCTAGGGTTAGAAGGCAGGGCTCCTCATTTTAGACCCTGTGTTTGAAATACAAGGTCATGTTGCCTTCTGTGTTGTCATTAATGTATTCTTTTTCAGATCCTTGTTGGGCATCTATAAACAGGGGCATTCTGATCTGTGATGAGTGCTGTAGTGTTCATCGAAGTTTGGGGCGTCATATCTCTCAAGTGAGACATCTCAAGCATACACCATGGCCTCCAACACTGCTGCAGGTAAAAAGGAAAACTGTGTCTTCCTTCATTAAAACTGGATATATTAACTTTTTTAACATTTTCTTAATGGAATTTAAATCGCTAAGCTTTTGTTTGAGAGGGGCTGGTCCTTTTAAACTTTCTTTTTCTAAGTTAGTCTCCTTTTATTTCTCTTGTTTTGCCATGATGGACCACTAAAATCAGAATTGTCTGTGCCTTTTTAATTTGATACCTTTGTTTTGGAAGGTCACCTTCAACTTTTCTTTCAGACTTCTGCAATGCATCTGCTTCAACCTAAACTTTCAATATGTAGCAAGCCTCTCTTTTCAGTAGAGCTGCTGTTGGGAAGAGTAGAGAATTTTAAGGGGGTTCTTATTACATTCCACATAATAACCTCCTAGGCATGTGCCTGGTTCTGATATCCCAGTGGGTTATGGATGCTGGCACACAGAATATGAATTTTTGGCTTGCTGTCCACTTGAAAATAATTACAGCTACTTGATTAGTCAGTCTGTGCAGCTGGCAGCAAAATTTCTTTACTGCCTGTTTGTATACATTTTGGATTTCAGATGGTTGAAACACTGTATAATAATGGTGCTAACTCCATATGGGAACATTCATTGCTGGACCCTGCCTCTGTTATGAGTGGAAGGCGCAAAGCTAGCCCACAGGATAAAGTGCAGTAAGTGGAAAATTACAGAATTTTTATTTTTGTGGAAGTGTGATTATTTTATTCAGCACTGACAGAGGCAGCAAGGTATCCATGTGTATGTTTTCTTGCTGGAAGAGAACAGGAGTAAACTAGTTATTTGTTCACTAATTTTTAATTTTTTTTATTTTTTTAAAAATTCCCAATGATTAATTTTTTTAAATTTATTGCAAAGATGGAAATACATTGCTTGAATTCTCTGAACTATTGATTCCTGACCTCTAGCTTTGAGTAGTGAGGACCTTTACTTGTAATTGAATCAAAAGACTTTTAATTCTCATGCCACTTGCTTCAGTTAACTGAATGCTACTAATGAGATTGAGTTTGGCTGATGAATTAAAAAATTGAGAGAAGATTTTTGTCACTGAATATGGTGCTTCATTTTAAAATGTAAATAACTGCATATAGTAAGTATAGATCTTAAGTTGGCATAATTTTAAGTTCAATGTTTACTTCTAAGAAATATACCCTACATCATAAAGTCTGCAGATATTTTGATGTTTGTAACAAAAGTATGCTCTGTATAGTTAGACAATCTGCACTGGATTGGTTTTTTAATGAAAATATTTTTCCGGTCTAACTTTGCTACTAGTAGCATGCAAAGATCTAATGCAATCTTCACTTGTGAATTTTCATTTTTCTAGAGCACCTGTATTATTGTGAAAGCACTAATATTTATTTTCTTTCCCTTCTGTTGCTTGGGTTTCTCTTTACAGTCCCAATAAAGCAGAATTCATTAGAGCTAAATATCAGATGTTAGCATTTGTTCATCGCTTGCCATGCCGTGAAGATGACAGTGTTACTGCCAAAGATCTTAGTAAGGTTAGTATGTTTTTTCTGGCAGTCTGCAGAAGCTACAACTTGTGTGTAACAGAACAGTGAAATCTGACTGAATTAAATTAGTTGCTTTTGACTTGAGATAACTATTGCTGTTCTTCAGCACTATTATGTAAACAAATACAGCTTGACTTCAACTTGAAGCCGCTTTTTTGGGGAAATACGTATGGATACTGGAGATGTGGATGGTTGAGAGGCATCAATTTAGGTTAACTTGGAGAAAAACGTTTACACAAAACAGCCGTAGCAAGAATTCTTGCATACCTGTTTCTAAAAGCTTGGCTGAAAAAACAAAAGCTGAATCACAGTTATTGCCGCCGTATTAAGTATAATCCTGCTTCTTTTTCAGCAACTCCATTCCAGTGTAAGGACAGGGAATCTGGAGACATGTTTGCGATTACTCTCCTTAGGAGCTCAAGCCAACTTCTTTCATCCTGTATGAACACTTTTTTCATTATTTTGATATACAATCAATTCTTACAGTTCGTAATATTTATACTGATTTCAGCTGATACACATTATATTTCAGTCTTCTACTCAGACCTGTTGATTAAGTAGATATTTTTCTTAATGACCTGTAGGAGAAAGGAAACACCCCGCTCCATGTTGCTGCTAAGGCAGGACAGACTTTACAAGCAGAATTATTAGCGGTTTATGGTGCTGATCCTGGCACGCAAGATTCCAATGGAAAAACTCCAGTTGAGTATGCAAGGTAGACGGCTCTGACTTATGTGATGCTCTCATATATTAACTGATGTTCATAAATCACATGATGAACTTGCTTAGATATGTTTCTGTCCTGAAAATAATTTGACTGTTAAATGCTAACAAGTACTTTTTCAAGAAAGAGCAAATGCATAAAGAGTATAAATAAGCATTTTCATCATTTCATAGCCTGTATTCTCCTGGATGCTTGAGGCAACAGTTGTGATCCCAGTGAAACAGGCTGTGCCAATCTGACAGCTCACAGAAAAGTAATCTGAGGAGAAGAGTTTCTGCAAGTTCAGCAAGCTGAGTAGACTCCAGGAGTGTGGATTAACTAGGGAATTGCTGTAGGAAAGGGCTGGACTGCACAGATGGGTCAGGGAGCAGGGGGTGGAACCAGGCTTTTTAGTGGCAGTGAACTGTGAGACTCATCCAGTTGCAGAACCGCACCCTCAGGAAAGCCTACCTTTAGAAAGGCTCTAGGCTTCCCAAGGGCAGACAACATTCGTGTCAAGAAAGACTAAACGTGACTGTCTCTGCTGATCAGTTGGGCAGTAATGAGGCACTGCAAGATTTGCAGCACAGCATTGAAGTTTTTTTTGTGTTTATGTGCAAAATTGGACATTACTGATCAACTAGAAGGTGCACATTTGTGTAAATAAAACATCCTTATTGCTCTGATTGCTTTTGAATTGAGGCCATACGTGGGATCTGAAGACTGAATAAGTTCACTTGGTTGCACCACAATATGCCAGAATATTTCTGTTTCTCAATGCTATTAATCAAATGTGAAGTTGGGTGAATTTGCTGCATGAGCTCAGGAACTGTCTAGAAAATTGTAAATAACGTATTCAAAATAGCCTATATAATCTGGGTTTTCTTCTACAGCAAAGCAGTAGGCAAAGGTTTTCAGAGTTTTCACTGACTCATTTTGGGAAGTTCATAAAAGTTTATCTATAGGGTTTTTTTGCCCACTAGAACACGCTGTTGAAAATCCTGCTGTGAGTCTGTGCTGTGTGATACATTTAAACATGTGCAGTGTTGAACAGTGGCTTGTACTAAATCTATTTCTCTGACCATTTTTTAATTTTTTGTATGTCTCAAAATGAATAACTAATGCAACTTTTTTTTGTGTGTGTGTGTAAACCAGACAAGGTGGGCATCACGAACTGGCAGAGCGCCTGGTGGAAATTCAGTATGAACTCACAGACAGGTTAGCTTTCTATCTCTGTGGCAGGAAACCAGGTAAGTAGAAAAACTACGCTCCAAGATCTTTCAGTGTTAATTATAGGACAGTTCAAACTATGGTATATAATGTTTGTGTCAGTGTTATTACACTTTTTATATGCATTTTAAATATTCTAACGTTATATAAATTATACAGGAAGAACTAAAGAAAGTATAAGATGTAAGCTTAGTGATAATGCATTTAAAATTCAGATAAAACTGCAGGATTTTAAGTATACCTAAACTAAAAATGAAGTTCCTTTCTGGTTTTCCACAAATACGTGTTCTATAAATGGAATAGCCCTGAAAGTGTGGAGAAACCTACATATAAGATCAGATGAGTACTGTTTAACTTCAAGGAGTGAATTGCAGGGAAGATACAGATTTTGTGACTGTTGAATAGTCTGCAGGAGATACTGTAGAAACTCTTCTAAGTAGTTTCTTCTCATTGAAAGCAGGGGAGTATTCAATTAAGTAGGTACCTGTTGAACACAAGCACGCTTTTAAAAATTTTTAGCCATTAGGTGCCATAAAGGCACCCTTGTTAGAACTTAATTTTTTTTTTTTTAATGGAATTTACTACAGTTGATAAACCTTAATTGGAATCTTTGATAACACCAGGAAGTTGTGGTAGGAACCTTCTTTTAAGACTTACTAGCTTCCTATAACTGGAAATTGAGTAATTACATGCAAGGCAAATTAGTCTACGTTTGCCTGTTGCATATGTCCTGGGGTTTCTCATTACTATATCTTTTAGTAAAACTGAGTACCAGCTGTATATCCTGACAACATTGAAAACTGTAGTCCAGTAACAACCTATTAAAGTGCAATTTGTTTTCAACTCTAGAGCATAAAAATGGACAGCACTTTGTTATACCTCAGATGGCAGACAGGTAAGTTGCTGATTCCATGGCATGTCTGAAAATATCAAGATAAAAAAACCTAATAATTAAGTTTCCTTACCTTTCTGAAACAACTTTTAAGCTTGTTGTCATTCTAACTTTTTAATGTGTGCCTTTATCGATCTTGGAAGCTTTTTTTTTCTAGAAAGAATATTGGCATTTAAACAAAATCAAAAAAATTATAGAAGTTTACTGTATTTGTTAAAATGCAGGGGGAAGGTGAGACAATTATATTAAGGGAACACACATGAGGGTTCCTGGGAAACAGATTTTATAAATAATGTAAGGACCAATTGAGTTCGTTTCCTGATACAGCATTTTGAAACTAATAATTGCAAGAAAGCTGCATTTTTCTCTGAAAATATTTATACTTTTGCTCATCTGAGTGCTTTTAACTTTTGGTTATGATTAGTGAAATCATATTCGTATAAAACATATCAAGTATTAATCATAAGTCCCTATTTTTCTTTTATTGCTATGCAATTGGAAATAAGGCGGCTGTAAGTAAACTTGTTCAACTTATTGCTTGCAAAATTTCTGTGGAAAAACTAATAAAATAAAAATTATAGAGAGAAACTGTAATAGTTGGTAAAATACTTAGTGTTAAACACAGTATATCTAAAAAAATTACAGATGTTAGCTATTGGATAAAGTACTCTGTATTTTCAGTGCAGAGTATTTTGCAGAGCAGACTAAGTGTCATTTGCCTCATTACGCTGAGAAGGAAGTTGGCAAGCAGAGAAAATTATTTGTTCAAAGCTGCT